TCTTGAAAGTGAATGTGGAAATATATATATATGTGATTCAAATAATGCATAAGAAATGCTTATGCAAGATTGACTGAATACCGCAACGCACCTCTAAGGGAGGTTTGAGAGAAAGAGAGAGAATAAATATTACTGTGTGATTACATGAATATGTCATTGGTCGCGTACATGTGGTACGCCAAAAAATAATTTTACATGCCTTATAAAAAGTTATTAAAGGCAAAAGTAAAGCAAGAAATGATTTTGACCATGACAATTATTATGATATGATTTTCTCCGTGAAGGAGACATTCACCGTATGGATGGTGTGACAAAAGATCTTGTAGTATAAAATCCATTAAGAGCTCCGGAAGAGCTAATTTGTTACTACCCGGATGAATAAAATTGTTCATGACATTGATATTGTAGTAAGTCTCAAAAGAAACTTTTTGAGTTTTAAATGTATTAGCCAAAGTGGTTGGCATATTGAGACCATAAATTAAAGGAAGATTGAATATCTTCTATATTACTATAACATACCGGGTAAATATGAAAGGTTACCCGATTTTTCTTCTATTTGTACTACAGATGTATAAGCATCATGATGGAATCACATGCCATAAGTAAACTAGAGGTTTATTGAAACAAATATTAGTTGGCATGACCGGTTGACCATCCCGGTTCAATTATGATGTGAAAATTGATTGAGAATTCACATTGGCATATATTAAAGAAATAGAAGATTCTTTAAGAATTCTCTTGTGATGTTTTTTTTCCTCATGATATACCAGTTAAGGTTGGGATTGAATCCCTTGATATCTGGAACGAATAAAAGGTGATATATATGTATGGGCCCAATCACCTGCCATGTGGATCGTTTACTATTATATGATTTTAATAGATGAATCTATTGTATGGTCACATGTGCGTTTGTTATCAACTTGCACTTTGATTTTTGCAAGGTTGTTTGCTCAAATTATTAGAGCACGGTTAGAATATATATTATGATAATTTATCTTGATAATGCTGGTTTAAATCCAAGTTGGTTTAGCAGAAATTATATGCCTCCAATTACAGCTAAACCATTGGTTATGAGAACAAAACTCCAAATAGAAATTTTGTATTATGTATATTATTTAATATACAACAGCACTTGTACGCATCTAGCCAACAAGTTATGATAAATTTTCCCCATCGCAATTGGTTTAGGGTCAGGAACCAAATATTTTCATCTAGAAATATGGATGTACTATATGATTTAATTGTGCCACCACAATGCACAAAGATTGGTCTCAATGAAGGTTGGGGATATGTATTGGTGATCCCAACATTAGGGGGAGAAAATGAGCAGCTGAAAAAAGTAATACATGGAATGAATTATTTTGAGTATACTAGATCCTCGTACAAGAAAATGTGAACTTGAAGTTCAAGTGATAATTTTGCTGACCCAAAGCTAAATGTCATACTGTTAATGCTCCAAATAGAATAAAGTCCATGATATAGTCTATGGGACGCATGAAGCATAATAGACTAATCGGTTCCAAAGATAAAACTCCTTGAAGAAAGAGAGGAGCAAATGTTCAAGATGGTCATAATAAGGAGGCAAGTGCTTTATAAGAGCACCATGACATAACACTTTATAAGACCTCATGGGAGAGGCTCAGGTACTTGAAAATAATGATATCTCGATAAGTTATGTTTTTATTGTGTGATGATGGAACCGATGTAAAATGATCGTTGACGATGTTGTTAATATAATGTAGCGCTCAATATTATTAATATTGACGAGGATCTTGAGCTCAAATCTGTCATGAAATTTGGACAGATAAATGACTGGCCAAATGAAAAATATGCAATGAAATTGACTTCACCTGAAAAATGTGAAGTTGGACGGATAGTCCCCACACCTGAAAGTGAAATAAAAAATCAAGTCGATAGACATAAAGACGACTTGTGGCACAAAATTTTCGTAAATATCCTGGTATTAGGAGACATGTTCTCCTGTGGGGAATGGAGTCATTTCAGATTTTGGTCTGACAATACATTTGATATGCATATAATGAAAATCCTTGAATGATTTAAATTGTTCTGAAGCATATTAAGGTGCCCAAGAAATTTATTAAATAAATCTTCAACAGATCCTTATGTAGATTAGAGCGATCATGGCGTACATGATTTATTTTTGTGTCTAGTGCAATTGATGCACTAATATATCTGGCTAGAACCATGAGTATAACAATATGCTAGCAAGATATAGTTTTATTCCAATGTGGAGATATTGGAATACAATTAGTATTATATTTCAAAAGGAATACTTGATGTAGATTTGTTTATTCTAACAAATATTGTCAAGGTTATGTTGGTTATACAAATGCAGGGCATGGTTCGTTGTTCAGATAATCTATTTGGATGTGAGCGTAATGCCAAATTATGACATTCAACAAGATTTTAATTACATTGAAGATGATTCTGCATGCATAGCTCAATTGAAAGAAGGACTATCGAAGGAGACAAAATAAAACGTATTTCACTAAAGTTTTATTTCAGACATGATTGATGTTCAACAAATTTGTTCTAGTGATAATTTGGCAAACTTCTTCACAAGGCATTGCCAACCTCAGCAATTGAGAAGTTGTTATACATGATTGGAATTTATCGTCTTTGAGATATCAAGTGATATTTTTGTCAGGGGGAGTATAGCACGCGCTGCACTCTTTTTTCCTTCGCACAGATTTTATCCTACTGGGTTTTCCTGGCAAGGTTTTTAACGAGGCAGCAAGTAATGCGTATTACAAGATATGTGTACTCTTTTTCCTTCACTAAGATTTTTTCCCACAGGGTTTTTTCTTGGCAAGGTTTTAACGAGGCACATTATCTATGGACATCCAAGTGGGAGTGTTATGAAATATATATTTATATAGATGTCCACTAATCAAATATAACTCCACTACTCTTCTCCATTATGTAGATAACCCTCACTACTTCTCACCATTATTGTTGTAACTCCCACACCTCCGTAACCTACCCATGATCTTCCTCCATGATCTCAATGCTTAATAGCATATTTATGGAATTCTTTTGGTATACCTCAATGTTGTACTATAAATAGAGGATGAGAACTTATTTTGTAACACACTTGAATATATGAAAGAATTAAGAATCTCTTCTCTCTTTCTCTCTACATTGTTGTCTATCTTCTTGTTTTATATTATTACTTTGAGCTAAGTTTCGTAACACAGACAACATAGTAAACTCCAGAAATACAAGATACAATGTAATGTGCGGTACAGGTGTTTCAAGATTACACGGAAAAGTTCTTGCAAACGCAATATTAAACTTATCTTGATCACACGTCAAATTTGGAAATATGGAAAGAAGTTGAAAAGTTTGAACTCCTGAGTGAGTAAAGCAAGCCGTATACTTCAGTAGTGTCGTTTAATAGTCAAAATGAAGCAAGTGATTGTCATGTGTCGTTGTTTAACAGCACTTAGCTTAGGAGCTACTTGCTTCATGCATGATCAGTCAGAGTAATACTCCTTGAAGTTTTGGAGATTGTAAGTAGAAATTTCAGATTTCAAGCAAATTTTAATGCTAGTTTTTTTTTTTGCCTCTCCCCCTGGTAGATGTGACAATTTCACGTATATAAGCTTCAGAGTCTAAGCTTTGTGTTCCAAACTCTTCTTGGAAAAATAAATCGCAAGGCAATTGCACATAGAAGGATTCAGTAGACACATTGAATTAGGCATGATCACGCACATTGATGCAAAGCAACTTTATTGACTAAGAAGTACTAGGGCTATGTGGATCGTTAGAAGTGCCACCTAATGTAATAAATCTGTGAGTCACAATTGTTTTAAGGCAAAATCCGCCACGTTTTGTCCTTATCCAAAATATTTTAGGTAATTATCAATTATCCGCATAATTTAAGAATTATCTCAACTTAGTTAAAATACTATTCAGTTTTAATATACTTTATATAATTTACTATCATTGTCATGTGGTACCATATAAAATAAATACATACACTATCATTTTATTAAACATCCATGTAAAAGTACATATATTTTCTCAACTTCTAATTTTCTTAATCTCATATAAAGAGTAAAAAATTTCGTACGCTTAATTCTTAAAATGGTAAACAAAAAAAAGATAACCTTCTTTTCTTTTCTTGTGAGAAAATAATTTCTATCTTTAAAATAAAGAAAATCTCATAAACTTTTTTATATTATGTGTATAATTTATCATATCCAAAAATAATAATAAGTGTAACTATCCAAAATTATACTTATAAAATTTTTACTAAAATACTTCACTTAAAAGAAAATACCACACTAACATAATATCTAACGGTATCAAGGTTGGTAAATTTACGGGTTCTTATAATAACATAGGCCCAATTTTTTTTTTATAACCTCATGAATGGTCTTAGTCCCTTCAAGCTCATGTGATTTACTACGACTAATCCTAATATTAAAGTACGGGATGTAATAAAAATAACCCAGTATTATTACCTCCGGTGGAAATTGAACCTGAGACCTCGATGTTTCTCAAACCACTTTGTGCCATTTTAATATTATTAGCATAGTTTCACAAACATAGATATTCCTATATAAGAATTTGGAGGAAAACGTAACATCCAATGATTAGGCAAGGATACACAATTTACTAGTCAACGTATCAATGATCCGCAAGTAACCACTAATTTCAAACGAATAAGTCTATTTTAGAAGAAGCATGTTTTCAGTATACACTCATCAGAGAAGAGTTAAATAAACTTACGGGGTGTAACAGGTCCCACCGCGGTCGCGGTGGACAGAGCACTCCAAAACAGAATGCTCGTCATTTACCGCGGTCACGAGCCCCCTTTTTTTATTTTTTTATTTTTTTATTTTATATAAGGGTGTTAGTCTCCTACACATCTGGTACAACATCAAACAAAAGAAAAAGAAACAAAAGAAAACATGGGTTGCCTCCCACCCAGCGCCTGATTTAACATCGCGGCACGATGCAGGCTCATATCATCACTCCTCATTTGTGTACTGGGGGTCTTCCAATGATATCACCACGCTGTCCCCTTTTTCTTCAGTCATTCCAAGGTAATGTTTCAACCTCTGTCCATTCACTGTGAACTTGTTCGTCCCATCTTCAGATTCGATCTCCACAGCTCCACTTGAGAACATTTGCACCACTCTAAACGGTCCTGACCATCGGGACTTTAACTTACCCGAGAACAACCTCAATTTTGAGTTATATAGCAGCACTAACTCTCCGGGTTTGAAGTTCCGATCCAAGATGTGCTTGTCATGCATCAGTTTCATCCTTTCTTTATATAGTCTAGCACTCTCGAATGCCTGGAACCTGAATTCCTCAAGCTCATGCAACCCATTAACTCTGTTGGTGCCCGCTGTCTCCATGTTTAAGTTCAGCTGCCGCAATGCCCACAGTGCTTTGTGTTCTAGATCAACTGGAAGGTGGCATGCCTTTCCAAATACCAACTTGTATGGTGACATACCAATTGGAGTTTTGAAGGCTGTGCGGTATGCCCACAATGCATCATCCAGCTTCCTTGCCCACCGTTCTTGTTGCATTCACTGTTTTTGAGAGGACACTTTTGATTTCCCTATTGGACACTTCTACCTGCCCGCTTGTTTGTGGTTGGTAGGGTGAAGCTACCTTGTGGCGAACTCCATACTTCTCCAACAAGCGTGCAAACGCTCTATTGCAAAAATGAGAGCCACCATCACTGATTATGGCTCGGGGGGGTACCAAAACGTGTGAAGATGTTTTTCTTGAGGAAACTGGTCACCCCTTTCGCATCATTGGTTGGGAGAGCAATTGCTTCGACCCACTTGGAGACATAGTCAACAGCAACCAATATATACTTGTTACCGTATGAGCTGACAAAAGTCCCCATGAAGTCGATTCCCCACATGTCAAACACTTCCACCTCTTGGATTGTTGTCATTGGCATCTCATGAGGACGGGATATGTTGCCCTTCCTTTGACATTCATCACAGCTTTTGACCCAAGCATGGGCATCTTTGAACAATGTAGGCCAATATAGGCCTGATTCTAGCACCTTTGATGCTGTCCGAATTCCTCCAAAGTGTCCGCCATAAGGTGAAGCATGGCAAGCCTGCAAAATAGAGGGTTGATCTTGCTCGGGGATACACCGCCGGATCATGTTAACAACACATATTTTAAACAATAGGGGTTCATCCCAATAATATGCACGACAATCACGGGAAAATTTCTTCTTTTGAATTGAGGAGAGGTCATGAGGTACAATACCATATGCTAAGTAATTAGCAATATCAGCATACCATGGTGCCTCCTCCATTGTCATCGCAAGTAATTGCTCATCCGGGAATGTCTCAATGATATCTTCAACCTCTGTTCTCTTCTCTGCCCCTTCCAACCTCGAGAGGTGGTCTGCTACTTGATTATCTGTCCCCTTTCGATCACGAATCTCCAGGTCAAATTCTTGTAGCAACAGAACCCAGCGAATCAAGTGGGGCTTTGACTCCTTCTTTGCTATCAAGTACCTAATGGCTGTATGGTCAGTATAAATAATAGCTTTCGAACCAATAAGATATGACCTGAATTTGTCGAAGGCAAACACTACAGCGAGCATTTCCTTTTCTGTGACACTGTAGTTCAGCTGTGCACCACTAAGCGTCCTGCTTGCATAGTAAATTGGGTGCATAATTTTCTCCTTGCGCTGCCCCGAAACGGCTCCTATAGCGTAATCACTGGCGTTGCACATCAGTTCGAATGGTTGCTCCCAGTTGGGTGCAACAATGATGGGTGCAGTCACCAATCTGTTCTTCAGCTCCTCAAATGCTAGCCTGCAATCATCAGAAAACACAAAGTGCTGGTGTTTTTCAAGCAGCTTACATAAGGGGTTAGCAATTTTTGAAAAATCCTTGATGAACCGCCCGTAGAACCCGACGTGTCCAAGGAAGCTTCTCACTGCTTTCACTGAAGTGGGTGCTGGGAGCTTCTCAATCACCTCAACTTTTGCATGGTCTACTTCATTTCCCCTTTTTGGACACTCTATGCCCCAACACTATGCCTTCTTGTACCATAAAATGGCACTTCTCTCAGTTCAGCACCAAATTTGTCTCCACACATTGTTTGAGCACTCTCTTAAGGTTGTGAAGACAATCTTCGAATGAATCCCCTACCATGGAGAAATCATCCATAACCACCTCCATAATGTCTTTGACCATGTCGGTGAAGATGGCTAGCATACACCGCTGGAATGTGGCCGGTGCGCTGCAAAGTCCAAAGGGCATCCTCCGAAAGGCAAAGATGCCATACGGACGTGTGAAGGACGTTTTCTCTCTATCTTCCGGGGCTATTGAGATCTGATTGTACCCCGAGTATCCGTCCAAGAAACAAAAAATGGGATCGCCCAGCTAACCTGTCCAACATCGGGTCAATGAAGGGTAAGGGGAAATGGTCCTTCCGAGTAGTTGCGTTTTATTTCCTGTATTCCACGCAAATCCGCCACCCTGTGACTGTACAAGTTGAGATCAACTCGTTCTTCTCATTTTGCACAACTCTCATTCCACCCTTTTTCGGTACATACTGGACGGGGCTTACCCAATTGCTGTCAGAGATGGGAAAGATGATACCCGCGTCCAGCCACTTGATTACCTCCTTTTTTACTACCTCCTTCATATTCGGGTTCAGCCTTCGTTGATGTTCCCTGGAAGGTTTGTGCCCTTCTTTCAGACGAATCTTGTGCATGCAGAAGGCCGAGCTGATACCCTTTATGTTTGCCATGGTCCAACCAATGGTAGTTTTGCATTCCTGCAACACCTACAGTAATTGATCTACCTGCACAGCTAACAAAGCAGATGATATAATAATAGGCAATGTAGAATTGGGACCCAAGAAAGCATACCTAAGGTGGGCTGGAAGTGGCTTCAGCTCCAGCTGTGGTGGTTCCTCTATTGATGGTTTTGCAGGTGGTGTAGTTCTCTTTTCTAACTCAAGGGACTCGAGCTGAGGTTCCCTCTTCCAGAATCCTTGGCCTTCGAGTTCCATTACCTACTCTGCCAACCCTTCACCATCCATCTCCTCTAAATTCGTCAAGCAAGCTCCCAATGGATCTTTAGCATTCAGGATCTCATCATCTTCATGCAGGATCACATCCACAGCTTCCACTAATGAGCAATTTGCATATTCACTGGGTCTCCTAATGGATTGTTGAACGTTGAATATAACTTCTTTATCATTCAACCTCATTTTTAACTCCCCAGTTTTACAATCAATCAATGCTCTCCCAGTGGCTAAGAATGGCCTCCCCAGAATAATGGGTATCTCTTCATCTACCTGGCAGTCAAGAATAACAAAGTCTGCAGGGAATACAAACTTTCCCACTTGTACCAGCACATCATCAAGAATCCCCGTCGGCCTTTTAACCGTGCGGTCAGCCAGCTGCAACAGCATCCAAGTCGGTCTAGCTCTGCCAATGCCCAGTTTTGTATATATTGCCAAAGGCGTCAAGTTTATGCTGGCTCCTAAGTCACACAATGCTTTTGCAAAAGCATAACTCCCAATAGTACATGGGATAGTGAAGCTACCTGGATCAGACATCTTTTGAGCCATGGGTCTTGTCACTACTGCACTGCAGGTCTGTGTCAGAGTTACCGTGGATAGGTCTTGAAAATCAAATTTTCGTGACATCAGGTCCTTCATCATCTTTGCATAGCCCGGCATTTCCCTCAAAGCATCCATTAGAGGAATATTCAATTGAGTTTGACGAAGCATCTCCATGAATTTCCTGTATTGATCTTCTTTCTTTTGTTTTGCTAGTCTCTGAGGGAATGGTGGAGGTATCACCCTTTGTTCACTGCTTGCTGGTTTCTCTTTGTTGGGGTTTTGTGGCACAAGAGGTACCACCTGTTCTGCAGCTTGTTCACTCTCTTTAGCCTTGCCCTTATCAACCTGTACCTATTCAACCACCACCTCAGTAAGTTCTGATGATTCATCTATCTCTACTGAAACTGGAGTGGCTGGTGTAGTTTCTCTTCTGGATTGAGCAACTTCTTGCTCCTTGTCTAAATCTCTCCCATTCCGGAGACTTACTGCCATCAGCTGATTCGGGTTTTGCTCCTTGGGGTTAATGTTCGTGTCGGCTGGCAATGTTCCCTAGGGGCGGTTATTCAAGGCCATGGACAGCTGCCCCTGTCGAGTTTCAATACCCTTAATTGCTGAGTCATGCGCTGCTAACTTTTCCTGCATCTTACAATTTGTTCCAATGAGCTGTTGTAGCATACCCCTGATTTTTACCATGTTGCTGTCCTGTTGCTGATGAGGTGGCTGATATGCCAACTCTTGCCGGTTCTGCTGTGGATAGCCCTGTTGTCTTTGATATGGTACCATTTGGCCTTGGGGCTGCATAACTCCAGGTTGTGGCATGTTCGGTCTGTACTGCTAATTGGGTGCTGGTCTCCATTATTGTCCTCCTTGTCTCTGACCCCCAAAATTGTTGACATAATTCATATCCTCTCTTAACCCTTGGTTGTCACCTTCTCCACTCCATGAACACACATAAGACTGATTAATGCAAGGTGTACACAGTCCTCCATTTGTCGTGTCAACAATATGCACTTGCTTTGTACTCATCTCATCAATCTTCTTTGTCAATATACTCATCCGAGTCATGAGTGTGGCTATATTATTTGCATGCGAATTATTTAGGTCAAGGGGAACTGAATGCACTATTGGTGCCAAGGATGTACCTCTCATCATCCACCCTGAATTCTGAGCCATACACTCTGTGAATGTCTTGCTCAGGAATGCACCCCCAGCTGAAGCATCTACATTGGCCTTTAGATTGTCTGCTAATCCCATGTAGAATCTCTGTCCGAGCATCTGGTCTGGTATATCATGGTGGGGACATTTCACTAGCATACCTTTGAATCTTTCCCAAGTTTCCTGCAAGGTCTCAGTGGGCTGCTGCTTGAACTACAATATCTCATCAATATGTCTTGCAGTCTTGTTGGGAGGGTAAAACTTGTTCAGGAACTGTTTGACTAATTCCTCCCAAGTGGCAATGGAGTTTATTAGGAGAGAATTTAGCCAAGTCTTAGCTTCCCCAGTCACAGAGAACGAGAACAGTAACAACTTGATGGCTTCTGGGGTCACATTTGGCTGCCTTTGGGTCACACAAATTGACAGAAAATTTTTCAGGTGTTGTTAAGGGTCTTCAATGTGTGATCCGGAGAACAATCCCTTATTCTGCAAAAGATGCAGCATGTTGTTGGTGATCTGGAATGTATCCGCTTGTATTTGGGGCACAGCAATGGCGGTGGCCAGGTTGTCAGCTGTTGGCTGTGCCCAATCATAAAGTGCAGCTTCTGGCACAAGAGGTGCTACCACTGAGTCGTTTGGCACATTG